ATCTTCCAAAACACACACGAAATCCCGCAATCTTATACACTCAAACTGAGTCAAAACCAGACTGGGTCTAAACGCTCAATTTTCCAATTTACATATACACCAGAGTAATTTTAAATACATTTGTGGTTAGATCATGCGTCTTGCTTAATTCTTGCATTTTGCTACCACATCCAGTAATAGTGGAACAGAACGACAATTGTTTTATTAAAGAGCAATTCTTCAATTATAGTGGCATTAGCGGTAACAAGCGCGCTGGGTTAACAGCTAATTTCGCTAAGGGTTTGTCAACCGCTGAAATAGATCTAGTTTGTGCATTGAATATTCATGAATACAATAATACAATAAGGAATGCAGTACAGACGGAAATAACGATCTTACGAGTCCCTTACTATGTGTGTGCCTGTCCATGCTTCGTCTCTAGTGTGTCTCCTGCTCGTCGATCATACTCGAGTAAACACTAAGAAGCAACTGTGCAGAATTAAAACAAGAACATACCTACATACTACTTACCATATATCTACTATTACTACTCTACCATATACATATACTCATATATATATGCTGTGCAATGCACTCCCCTACACTCATCGTGTGTGTGTCGCTGTGTGTGTCGTCGTGTCGTTGTCCCCCCTGTGATAGTGCTAACCTGTGTCGCTGTGGTGTGTGTGTGTGTGTGCGCTCTGTCGTGCTGTGATAATTGACCCCTCCCCCTCAAGTGACTAAAGAACCATAATTAGAATGACACTCAATATTGGATAGTGATCAAGAAATCCGCCACACAGGTCATCGCCTAATAATAAACGCATGATTACTGGATGTGATATACTATTGCAATAATAGTGCATGACTTTAGGAACTATTCCACCATGAATCCGCATTTTGATAATAATAGAAGATTAAACGCGCTAATGATATAATAATAATGATTGAATGATAAGAGATAAAAATAATCGAACTGATAGTCGTAGATAATAATGAGATGCTCATGAGCCTCCTAATGTATAATGAAAATAATAATAATAATAATGAAAGGATAATGAAAAATAATGATTTTGATAAGGATAATAATGATGATGCATAACTATTAAATAACATTCAATGTAGATGATAGGATAATTTAATTCAACAATAATAGATAAAACATAACAGGATTCTGAATGGCGCTAATCATAAAAAAGCTTACTTAATTTACAGAAATATATATTAATAATTGTTTTTTGGTGAATTCCTAGGTCTGGTAAAACTGCGTATAATGCGCTAACAACTTAGAGTCTTAGAGGAAAAATTACAACTGTATTGTCTAAACATATAAGAACTTGACATATTGCTGTCACTTAACGTCCGAACCGTCTTCTTCGTATTTAAATTAATAAAATCAAACTAATAGATAATAAATAATTAATAATACATCTTATACCATAATACATAAGCTAATAATAATAATAATACATATACAATATATAATATATAAACTAATAATAATAAATAACTACTAAAATGAAAAATAAACAATAGTAAATAAAAATAATAATAAGAATATAAGCCCATAAGATCCAATAATTAATAAATAATTAGAATAATTAATGAGAAAATAATAATAAATCAATAGAAAAATTAAAAATAAATGAAAAAAGAACTTAAAAAACTCCTGTGCAACAATCTTATCCGAGTGGATATATAATATATAACATCAAGTACGTTTGACTCTGTTTTTCTTTTTCCTGTTTCTATCTTGGTCACTGGCCGCGACCACCACGTAGGCCTTCCACTACTATTGTGAAGTGTTGTTATTTACGCCACAAATAATTCCAGGTCTTTAAAAGTCCAATCCTGCAAGTATACTAAATGGTCTTCCTTAAAAAACGGTGTTAACATTTCACTAGCTATTACCCCTACAAGAAAACCTCTGGACTCAATAAGAATTTAAGATAGGATGAATAGCATCATAACAATTGAAAAGATTAATACAATTATAACAATGAAAATAATACAACTCTAATAACAATGAAATTATCTATAATCCTCTAGCAGTAATGACAACAATGATACACTATACCCTACTACTACAAGCATGATACAATCATCCAAGTTTTATAATCTTCTAGCACTATGCTAATAATACTATCCATATATCTACTGTTAATACAAACATACAATGCATTCAATATGGCAATTTATGATCCTCCTCAATACCATACTCCAAATAATAATTCAATTATATCTATTCCATTATTATCTCCCTCTCTCATATACATAACACTCCCCTATAATCATCATATACTCATAACTCCATCACCCATACATACTACTCTTAACTCTATATCTCCCAATATCAACTCTCCCTCACATTAATAATAATAATTATTATATTAACTCCAATTATATAAATATATAATTATTACCATTAATAATAATGATTCTAATAATGCAATTCATAAATAGACATAATAAATAATAATAATATAAGAACTCAATAAAGTAACCTCTCTCTAATACAACTATCTAAATCAAATCGTAATCAACATATACAAACTAACGAATACAACATCCCCTCCCCCTTTCATAATAACCAACATACACATAATATGCACTCAATAATTCAATCATACTCCCATAGCCACAATAAATTGCTACCATCGGGATCCGCCCCCATACTCACTAACCTCCATACAGCTTCTATTAATAACAAATTCTATGCCCTCCGCTCCAATTCTGCTAATCCACTCAACCTCCCTGGCCCTAACTACCTAATCCGCTCTCCTCATTACTCCCGCAATAATTTATACACAATCCTGCTACCCCTCCCACAGCACAGCCTTTCCCTCTAAATCTGTATGTACAAGTCGATTTTCCGAAGACTCTAAATCTGCACAGCTCATACTACATCAAATATCATACGGTAACACACTCATCCCTTATAATAGTATCACTAACATACTCACCAAAACACGCGCATCACCCTAACACGATCTCACTCTCTACGGTCTCTTTCCCCACCTTTACCGAATCCTATCATGAAGCACAACAGCAATTACTCTGCCCTACTACTGCTGTACTATTACTCCCCATAATCGCCATCCAAGCCAAACTGCTGCCATTCTGTTACCCCGCTTTCGCCCAACGGATATTAATTCCACAAGGGCCCCAATTCATTCACGGCCCGTGTCCTCTACTTTCTCCCCCTTATAGTCTTCTCCAACACTCTCATATCCCTCTCCCTCACCACACTATCGACAATCCTTCTTCCATCGCCCAAAAAAAAGAAACGAAACCAAGTTACAAACTCACATCTGCGGCTACGTACCTAGGCTCCGCTTCAGAATTCGATGAAAGATATACTTAACCACAACAAATTTCATTTAATGTCTTGAATATGCCATACTCTCGTGTCAGCCACCAAAACTAAAGTGGAAAGATGACCTCCCCGCCTGCCCGACGCAGTGCCAAAGTGGGCGAGTGGGCGATTATCCCTTGCTTCCTTTGTTTATACCTTTTTATAATCCAAAAAATGATTTTTTTGAGAACCCCCTTGTGCTTGGAAAATGGTGCTATTATGGTTTAATCTGCGTTTTGAATAGGAAACCAACAATATCTGCATCTACTCTACAAGTTGTATAGGGGTATAGATAATACAAGAGCTTTTTTTTCCTACTCAGTACAAACTGAAAATTTGCTCTTCCTTGTGTTATGTGTTCTACAGTTCTATAGGGTATAGATAGTACAGCTTTTTTTTCTACAAAATACATGAAAATTTGCTCTTGTGTTATGTGCTCTTTACATGTGCTTTGTGAAGGATTCTTGTTGAACAAGATGCAATGGAAACCGGAAAAAAACGAATTTTACTGAAAGCATTTCCGCCATATTGTTTCACCAGGGCTGTAAGAAGCAATTTACCGAAAAGGCTTTCCATATATTCGTTTTTGTTTTTTTTTCTTTTCATCTACTACAGGATCTCCACGCCACAACCAGACACACGCAGACAAGTACATGGGTTGTTTGAGGGTGAGTAGGAGCAGATTTCACAGTGACAAGGTCCTGAGATTACGGTAGGTCTTTCTAGAAAGACTTCCACCGTCGTAGTCAAGAACATCGTGAGCGTGACAGTTCCACGCGGGGGGCAGCCGTAGCCGGAGTAGGCAGAGCGTTTGACAACGTTGCCCTCCATCCCTGGCCACAAGGACACGTCGGCCACCCCCGGCGCCGGTTCCAAGGCATGCTCTTCGCTCTTCGCCTGAACTTGGGAACGCGATGCCGATGCGTTTGTGAAGGCAGTTGTGGCACTGCTGACGTGGCCGACGAAGGAAGGCTCCAAGAAATGAGGAGTGCCACTGGCCACGGCTACTGCTGCCATCCACACCAGACCGCCAGTAGGGAGTGCGATGCCATTTTAAGTAATACGTTGAACTCGAACGAAGTCTGAAACATGTGACAGATGATGCATTCCATATCATACCTAAATGTATATAAATATATGTGCATATGTACATACTTATGTATGTATATATATATATATATATATATATATATATATATATATATATATATATATATATATATATATATATACTGTATATATATATATGTGCATATATATGTGTGTGCGCACGTGTATGAATGTATACATATATATGGCTATATGTATATATGTATATGTATATATATATATATATATATATATATATATATATATATATATTACATATATATATATATATATATATATATATATATATATATATATATATATATATATATATATAAACATACATGCATACATACTTCCATGTTTATATGCAGATAGATATATATGTATTTAAGATTATATACACAAATACGATATAATACAAACACACACATGCACACATACACACACAACACTATATATATATACATATATATCTATATATATCTATATATGTGTATGTATATGTATATATATATGGTAATTTTCTATATTACGTCCGCATAACCGATATCGACGATTTTGGTATCGTTGGATTCCTCTCAATCTCCGCATTGCAAATATATAGTTTTTATTGCGCGGAAACCCCCCGTTAGCGACAAACTTGGCCCCGATAGCAGGGGAGGGTATGAAAGGTTCCAAGGAAAATGCGGGGTTAAATAGCACTAATAATATAATATAGAAAATTAGAAAAAAATAGAAAAAAGTAATAATATATATATATATATATATATATATATATATATATATATATATATATATATATATGCATGTATGTATATCTATATGTGTGTATATGTATATATATATATATATATATATTATATATATATATATATATATATATATATATATATATATATACATGAAGACAAGGACAAACAAAGTAACGATAGAGCTTTTGAAGAAAAAAATAATAATGAGCATAGACGTGATGTTAGATATGCCAGAGAATCTAATGGCGGTTGGACGACCTTACCTCACCGAGCTTGACCCTCCTCTTGAGACCAGATTCGGATCTTGTTCGTTCTGTGTATTTTGAGCTGCTGTACCAGGTTGACCCACCAACAGTTAACTTGGATGCGGGTAGTGTCGAGATCCCGCTGCCGGATCCACCCATCAGTGAGGACCCTCCCTCCCTAACTGAAGTTAGGGGGGCGATTTCCAAGCTGAAGAGCGGTAAAGCAGCAGGTATCTGCGGCATACCAGCTGAACTGTTAAAGGCTGGTGGTGAACCTATGGCACGGGGGTTACATGCTGTCCTGGCTGCCATCTGGCGGTCCGGTACCGTTTCTCCTGACCTGTTGAGGGGTGTGGTCATCCCTCTCTGGAAGGGGAAGGGGGACCGTTGGGACTGCAGCAATCACCGAGGCATCACACTGCTCAGTATACCAGGCAAGGTTCTCGCCCACATCCTTCTGAGACGTATGAGAGACCATCTACTGAGGCACCAGAGACTGGAGCAATCCGGATTCACTCCTTGTAAGTCCACAATAGACCGTATCCTCGCGCTTCCAGTCATTGTAGAGCGCCGTCGTGAGTTCGGGCGTGGGCTGCTTGCAGCCTACATCGACCTCAAGAAGGCGTTCGATACGGTGCATCGGGAGTCACTTTGGGAGATCCTGAGGCTGAGAGGAATACCAACAAGGATTATTGGACTAATAGCAAGCCTGTATACTGGTACTGAAAGTGCTGTAAAGTGTGGTGGGGGGCCTGTCGAGCTTCTTTCCTGTTAGTTCAGGAGTGAGGCAAGGCTGTGTCCTTGCGCCAACTCTTTTCAACACTTGTATGGACTGGATACTGGGCAGAGCTACTGTTCAAAGTCATTGTGGAGCAACACTAGGCAATATCAAGGTTACAGACCTTGACTTTGCTGATGACATTGCCATTCTATCTGAGTCTTTGGAAACCCTAGTGGCGGCTCTCAATGCATTTAGCAATGAAGAGAAAACCTTGGGTCTAGAGGTCTCCTGGACCAAGACCAAGGTCCAGGAATTTGGGGACTTGTTAGGAGAACCTGTTCAGTCGGTACGTGCTTGCGGCGAGGACATTGAAGTCGCAGAGAGCTTTACACACCTTGGTAGTGTAATTGATAACTCTGGGCTGTCAGACCATGAAGTCAGCAGACGGATTGGCCTGGCAGTAGGGGTCATGAACTCTCTCAACAAGAGTATTTGGAGATGTCGGTACCTGTGCAGAAGGACCAAGCTACGGGTTTTCAAGGCCCTGATAATACCAGTTTTGCTATACGGTAGCGAAACCTGGACATTGTCCTGTGCCTTGGAGGCTCGTCTAGAAGCCTTTTGTAATAGGTCCTTGCGCCGGATCATGGGGTACTGTTGGCGGCACCATGTGTCCAACCAACAGTTGCACTGTGAGACTGGCACAGGACCTGTTATCTGCACAATCCGTGATCGCCAACTCAGGCTATACGGCCACCTGGCTCGCTTTCCTCAGAATGATCCTGCCCATCAGGTCGTCTCTGTTCGTGACAACCCTGGGTGGAGGAGGCCTGTGGGACGACCGAGGAAGTCGTGGCTTGGGCAGATCGACCAAACCTGCCGTGAAGAAATAGAGATGGGCCGAGTCCCTGCCTGGCGTCTAGCCATGAGGGATCTCGTAGGTGGAAGCGAAGGGTGGATGCGGCTATGCGCCCCCGTCGGCGTCAGCCCCCTTGATGATGTTGATGATATATATATATATATATATATATATATATATATATATATATATATATATATATATATATATGTATATATATATATAAAAGTATATATATATATATATATATATATATATATATATATATATATATATATATATATTATATATACATATATATATATAGCATATGTATTATATGTATATATATATTATATATATATATATATATATATATATATATATATATATAATATATATATATATATGTGTGTGCATATTTGTGTATATATGTATAAATATATGTATATATGTGCGTGTATAAATACATATACATGTGTGTACATATGTATCTATGCGTATATATGTGTGTGTATGTGTGTGTCTGTTTGTATGAATATATATAAAGATATAATGTTCTCTTTACGAAATCGCAAATGCTCATTCAAAATTTATTGGTTACAGTTCCAAGAAAAAAAGAATAGTAATAACATCAAAACGGTAACACCACAGAAATCCCAAAATCAAATTTTCTGTCAAAGAATTTCTTCATGATCAGTAACAACCGGTAATTTAATGCTATAACTTGTGCCTGTATAAAATGACGTCAAATACACGCACGCCTACGTTAGGGATATAAGGAAAATCCTACAAGATTTGCACTCACCAGCTAATAGGGAATATCACACGAAGGCAAATATTTGAGTACTTTCCTTTCGCACGACCGCGCATCTAGGCTGACTTCAAAATGTTTTGATGAAATTATAACCAATTTTATTTAATTAATTTTGATACTCATCACTGACTTTCATTTCATAATTCGTTATTATAATTTTGATGATTAGTTGAGAACCTCCTTGTGGTTGGACTATCATGGTTAAATAATTTCGATAGAATTACAGTTCAGCTATGCATTTCTATAATTGTACAGAGTACATGTTAAATGCCACGCTCCATATTTTCACACTAATACAGGCTTTTAGAAAGTACAGAAAAAACACGTAAAATGTTTTACAAAGTACTCGATCATTTGCTCTCGTGACACATGCCCTTTACATTTGTTTTGGGTTTGGATTCTTGCTGAGCGAAATACAAATAAAACAACGGAACAGAAAAAAAAAATGATACGATTCCTTAAAGCATATTTGCTAAACTACTTCGTCAGGGCTGGAAAACACGTATATTTGTGTTTTCTTGTCTTTTCCTTCGCTGTTTTCTTCTACTACAGAATCTCCGAACCACAACCAGACACAGGCAGACAAGTACACGGGTTGTTTGAGGGTGAGTAGGAGCAGATTTCACAGCGACAGGGTCCTGAGATTATGCTCTCTGTTACTATTACTGTCACAGTGACATCTCTAAAGACTTCCCTCGTTGTCGTAGTGAACACCGGGATTGTGACAGTTCCACGCGGGGGGCAGCCGTAGCCGGAGTAGGCAGAGCGTTTGACAACGTTGCCCTCCATCCCTGGCCACAAGGACACGTCGGCCACCCCCGGCGCCGGTTCCAAGGCATGCTCTTCGCTCTTCGCCTGAACTTGGGAACGCGATGCCGATGCGTTTGTAAAGGCAGTTGTGGCACTGCTGACGTGGCCGACGAAGGAAGGCTCCAAGAAATGAGGAGTGCCACTGGCCACGGCTACTGCTGCCATCCACACCAGAGCCGCCAGTAGGGAGTGCGATGCCATTTTAAGTAATACGTTGAACTCGAACAAATCCTGAAACATTTAATACATACATAACATGTGTATATATATATGTGTGTGTGTGTACTGTATAGATATGTGTATATTTATATATATACTATATGTGCATGTGTGTGTGTGTTCCCCGGGGACCCAACAACCCAAACTTCTCGAATATCTAAAGTGGGGGTTGCGGTGGGTGTCCCACCGACAATGAGTTCCAATCTACCCCCAAACAACAGATCACTACCTCAATCGTAAGTAAAACAAAGTTCAAGAACCGCCGTCTGACACAGCGGGGCCAGTGCAATAATAAACAAACACATCTTAGCGGGTTTTCAAGTTCCTATGAAAGAGAGTTTCCGACTCGCTAGGGACTTGAAACTTTGGGACCGATGAGTAGTCGGGCCAATCTTCAACCTTGGCAAGCTCTATTGGAATCGACGCTGTAGAAGCTGAGATATAGAGGGGCCCAAATCGCCTAAGGCGTGATACATATACATACAGTGGTAACTCTTTTGGAGGACACAATTCTCTCGAGAACGGAACAAGTTAGAATGTTGATCAACCACTCGTTGGAAAGGTTCCATGAAGGAACGGATCCTCTCGATACAGGGACCATCTGCGTCGATTGGCATTTTGCCAAAAATGCGATTTTTTGTATTTTTAGCCTTAAAAGCATGGTTTATGATGGGCTAGGAAATAGAAAACCTAGGATAAGAAAGGCCTTGGATACACCTATACAAGTGCCAAGTTACATTGAAGTAAGCCTAGTACAAGCTGAGTTGCAGACAAAAATAAGAATTAAATGTACTATCAATGCACTAGCCAGTGCCTCAGGGACCCAACAACCCAAACTCTTCTCCCTGAATCTCTAAAATGGGGGTTGTGGAGGGTGCCCCGCCGCCAATGAGTTCCAATTTACCCCTAAACAACAGATCACTACCCCAAGCGTACGTAAAATAAAGTTCAAGAATCGCTGTCTGACACAGCGGGGCCAGTGCAGTCATACACAAGGTTAAGATACAGTGGTACAACCATTTTTAGTAGGATCCCTTAAAAACGGAGAGAGATAGAGAGATGATCGACTACTTGTTGGAAAGGTCTCGTAAAGGAGCATATTATGTCGGGGTAGGGAACATCAGGGTTCTCAGGCATCTTGCCCAAATCGAGATTTTTGAGTTATTAAGCCC